CTCTCTCTCTCTCTCTCTCTCTCTCTCTCTCTCTCTCTCTCTCTCTCCCTTTTTTGTATCTGTATTCGCGCGCGTGCGCATGATTCCGAGTGTCTGTGTGCGTGTCTCTATATTCAATCATTTTGGCGGCCGAATCTCTTTCTCCCTCTATATTGCAACTCTACAACGTGTTATGCTCTTTCGCTTAAAACGCGTTCAAACTAATCAGAAAAAGAGAAAAGAAACAGAAACGACGAAAATTAGAAACGGGATATTTAATATTTATCGCTTTACGATGATTCGTGTGAGAGAAAAACGAAAAGAAAAGGGGGGGGGGGGCGGAGGAAAGAAAAGTACGAAATCGAAGCAACGGAAAGTCAAAAGTCGAGGACATCGCAATTGTCCAAAAGTAGAAAAACGATACGATCAACGAACGTGACGTGTATAAAAATGGGGAACGACTTTTGACCAGTCACGGTGGCGAAATTAAAAGTGACTCGATACGTTCTCTATCGAGATCTATTGCACGTAACGAAGAAAAAGTCGGTGAAACGATTGGCGCGTACGATTTTTTTCAAGCGATCGGACGAACAAAACGAACGGTAGGAGCTCTCGTGTCCGTGATATACGCCTACTAACAGCGATGACACACTAACGGCTAATGCTATCTCGAAAATGGAATGCGTTGATTCGATTTTAGCGGAGAGATGAACGGGCTGGCCTGCGGAATAGGAAACTCGTAGACAAGTATCTAGCCGAGTCCAATCCGCTCAGCTCGTCCGCTAATCGTCTTTGCCGGACGTGTACCGAGAGACGTGCACAATGCCATGAGAAATGAAACGTTGATCTGCAGGCTGCGCCACCGCGCCGCAAACCTTCCTCACAGACCTCTGTATACACCTGTATGCTATCAACCGCGTTAAGGACAGAGACGCGCGCATTGCACGTATCCTCCTAATTATGTTTACGCTCGTATCGCTTACGCAATTCGATCAACGCACCGCGTACGCGTACGCGTACGCGTACTCGGAGACCTTCCGGTCGCGCGACTGCTCTTATGGTCTGTGATTGGACCTCGGATTGGCAAACACATGGTTGCGTTAATTCCTGGTTCCTTCTCTTATATTTACCTTCGCCTCCGTGAACACATATTTCAGATTAGTTTGTTTAGCAAATTTGATTTGTGATCAGTCGGATCTGTTACACGTTCCTGAATTTCATCTCTACGATCGATTTTCATCCCGGGCTCATCCGATGGCTTCTCGCGCCGAGTCGCCGCCGAAAAGAATATCGTACCGGCAATGTTCACTGTTTTCCCCACTCTATTCGTATCTCGCCAGGTCTCGCGAAACTCGTGAAATGTTTGAAGTGTTTGAGCACGCCCCGGCGTGCTCTGTTGTTTCGTTCTCTGTTGTGCACCGGTACAGCGTGGCAAAGATACTCATCAACAATATTTGCTGGCGTTATTTCAGTATCGAGATGAATCTACGTCCGCGCTTTCGATACATCAGTCTATACATATATACATACATACATATATATGCGTGTATATATAGAAAATATATATTTATGTATATATGCCTCTAGACGAATTTAGCATTCCTAAAACTGACAAGAATATATACGTATATATGTTTATCGCGTAGTATAAATTATGTATATGTCTTATAAAGTATTGTTGTTACTATTTTTACTTTTATTATTGTTATCATTGTTATTAGTTATCATTGTTATTATTATTACTGTTATTTATTAATATTAATTGGTTTTATGCATATGTATATATATATATATGTATGTATGTATGTATGTATGTATTTATGTATATATGTAGTGTATACATACATATGTATGTACATACATGTATATATACATATATATTATATGTAGAGTATAATAATATTTTATATTATCAATAACTAGCAAGCCATTCGAGCTCGTCAGAGGGGAGGAATTTATAGCGCACCTCCCCTTTTTTTAGTTTTAGTTTTGTAAGTACTTACTTGTACGCGCCACCACGTTCACATACGTGAACCACATACACGTATGTACCACGCTTTCACATTAACTATGTATAGTAAGTTGTGTATATTTGTGTGTATGTGTGTCTGTACGTGTATGTACGTGTGTATGTATAAATGAAGTTACGACAGTGTTCATTTGCAATGATTCGTTTTCGTGTGCAAGTATACGAACAGGCAACATAGCTTACGAACAGATGGAAAAGAAAAAAAAAAAAGAAGAAAGAAAAACAGAGTTGCCTGCCTTAACTATAAGTACAATATTTATACGTGCATACATAAATATAGAAATAAATATACGTGTGCACACGTACGAATATGTGTGCTCGTATATTATTTTATATACTTATGTATGTTCCTTTATAGCATTTGTTATATTTATTTAAATAGCGTATAAATTTCAGATAGCTTTTAGTCGTGTCATAAATTGCGCCAGACTAGAGCCGGTCCTCCCATTCCCTGTCCTTTGAAGTAATAATTTATTTCATGTTGATTCAACTAAACTATAATAATTTACTAAGACTCTAGTTCCTTCTTTCAATTAATCAATATGTATATATATATATATATTTATATATATATATATATATACATATATGTATATGTATATATATATCATTTAGTCATTCATTTTATATATATATTATATTTCATATTTATAATATTTATATTTATATATTTATATACTCCTTTTTTTAATAATTCATATTTATATATTTATATATAGAATAGTTGTTGGTACTTTGGTTGATTATTTCTGCTAGATCAGAGTTTTCTTCTCCGTTCCATCGCTCGCCTACGCTAGTTTTTTCCAACTTGCTTTTATGTACTTGGTTTCGTTCTAATGACCCCCTTTTTTTTCTATCCCTATACATCGATGCTACATCGCCTCTCTCACTTGGCTTCTGCCCGGAATCGTATAATAAATCGAAGCTCGCGCGAAAGTCTGTGATTCGACCGGGCATCGCTCGTTAAATGTCCAAATGTTTTATTTATCGTGCTTAAAAAAATATTCAATGTTCACATGAGTACCGTCAGTTGCCATTTACATCGGTAGCCACAAATTTTGTGGCATGACACCAATGTAAGTATGTACTTGCTGCCTGCTGTACGGTTCGGTTTGTCCAGTGCAAACAATCCCTTAAAATCTCTCCCTAATCGTTCGAAATGAAATATTAAAAATGAATCCTAGTAACAAGCAACGCTAACGAAAACGCGCAAAAACCAATACGTTTGAAAACAATATAAAGTAATATAAAGTACCAAGCGCCTTACAATTTGATCGTGATCATATATATATATATATATAGTTTGTGTATGTATATACATACGTAAGTACATTTGTTATATAAAAAAGAATTTCGTACGCAAGACGCAATTTTTGATTGCAACTCTCAGAAACAACATGCTCCGATAAAAGAAAGAAACTATATCTTTGGCTCGTTTCTAGTAAAATTATTCTAAAATGAAATTGCACGTGGTTCGCTTCGGAAACCTTTCGGAACAATAAATAGTTTATCCTAAATAAATTTCATAAAAATAATTTGATTTAGAAAGATAGATCTATACATCGTTCTACGAGAGTTCTTAAAATTACAGCAAATAGTAAATAAACATCTTATGAAAAGAAGAAAATTAAAAAGAAAACAAAAGAAGAAAAGGAGACGCTATAAATATCTCTCCGCTGCGCAGAGTATAAAAATGACTAGACGTAGACTAGGTAAACAAAGTGAAAAAGTAATGCTCATTGCATTCATCTCACCACCTATTTATCGAATGGACAGAAATATTTTGCACAAGGGGGGACTCGATCTTGTTAATCGTCGTCGTCGCCGTCGTCGTAGTATAGTAGCTTTCACCCTTTGGTTACTTTTGTTTTGTTTGAATAATCACAGCCTGGTTGACATTTCTCGGGCGATGCATGACCGGTCAGTCAAACGTGAACGACTTCTATGAATCATCGAGCCGTGAGAATGAACAACAGGATCCCGATCTCTTCGGATCGCGGAACGTAATACGATCAGATCGATCCTTTGTTAGAAGAGGAATCTCCAATAGATATAGTTTCGGGCCGGAAGTTCGCTCGTGCTTTTCGCTTAACGATATAATCGTACTCTTAGTACTCGTGATCGTAATAATAATGACGATGATAATAAGGAGTAATAATAATAAATGTTACGTTGAAACGGGTGAAACGAGCGCCGTGGCGTGGACGATCGGACTTCGAAGTGGCGTCCACTTTGACACGGCACTAACGATTCCTTTCAATTGTCTCGTAATATAAAACCTACGGCGCGCGACGTAAGTAGGTACGTACGTATGCGTTTAATAATCTTAACATAAGAAGAACCGATAACCCGCGAGTGTTGGGTCGGCAATGATTGATACATGTAGATAGATGCATGACGTGTGAGGTGTATGCGCATGTTGTGCGTGTGTCTTACGTGTATGTGCGTTATGTGTGTGTGTGTGTGTGTGTATAGTGTAGGTGTATGTAAATGCGTGTTCCGTAACTTCCGTTTTAGATATTTGTTTTCGCATTCGTAACTTCCGTTTTAGATATTTGTTTTCTCTTTGCTTTTTTTTTCTTTTTTTTTCTTTTTTAGACGTTGCGTGAGACGAGCACCCTGTATACGTGATTGACAAATTTGCGTTAGGAGAGACCGCGAATACTGTGTGCCGTCGGTCCTGCCCGAAGGCCATTAAACACAGTAAACGATCCTAACGATGTTGCTATATACGTGGTATATTACGGTGATGACGCGTTCGCAAATCGAACACGCGACATCCAAACGGATTTGACGGTATTAACTGCGTTACCAAACGAAGATTGGCAAAACTGTTTGTAAAAGAATAACGAATTCAACCGATACACACACTGTGATTCGTGTTTTTCTTCTGTTTTTTTTCTTCTTTTTTTTTCTAGAGAAATCTGAAGAGGTACTTACTTTCTTTCGTATTCTATGGGTCGAATCGCAGTAATAGTTAACTTTTTTTAACAGTCGGTCGGCTATCAATCGCCATGCCGTTTCGTCAGGAACTAAGAGTTCTTTGGTTAACTGTTGGAAAGTCACCCGTCTTGAACGTTCATCGTGATTATCAAACTATTTTAGGAGTGTGTTTGTCGGAACGATAACCTGATCGAGAGGCTCTAGGCTCCCAATATCTAATCCCCGGATGGCCGGACTTTCAAAATCCGTACTAAGGTGTTCTCTTCTTGAAAGAGACGTATCGAATTGCATGTTGTTGTCTCCGACACGAATTTTTCGTTTGGCAGTAGGGATCGAGAGTGTGGAACGGAAAAACGTGTAAAATAGAACAAGACGTAGGAAAATAGAAAGTGCAGGATGATAAAGATCAATGTGTTCTTCGTTCTTAGTAAGGAATTTGTCGCGTCCGGGCATCCGAGAAATCGTCTGAAGCGTGAATCCTACTCGCGTTTTGGTTTCTCGGAAACTGGGTTCAGCGCTGGACATCCAATATTTCATTAGCATCAGCCTCTTCGTCCTCGCCGCGTGGCTGTCGGCGAAGTCAATCTACTGACTTCTAATTTTTATACTCTAATTAATTATCTAACTAGTATACTAGATTATTATAGTGGAGAGCGTTGTAACGGTGATTCAAACTCATCACTTCTGATCGTCGAGCGTTCAATAAGCCCGTGTTCTTGTACGACATCTGTAATTAAAAAGAGTCGATACTATTTAATCCATTATTCATTATTCGTTATGTATTGTTCGTTGTACAAGTGAGGAAAGGGATCTCTACAAGGACAGTCTATTTTTGAATATGAACAAAGGTAATTCGGCGAAAGTACGTGAATTACTGGATTTATTTTTCAGTCAGGTATGCAACAGAATACTGAGGAGAAGGTTGTACATGTATAGTATACATGTACTTTGAATATTTTCGTTTGCTCGAGAAACTCTTTTAAAACTTACTCTGTGGGTTGTGATGTAGGGTGCGTATCGTCCAGTTTCTCTAAGCTAGGACTTTGGTTAGTATGGCCGGCTTGCGTCCTTGGGCCTTTTTAACTGGACTTTTAGACGCTTCATCCCTATCTGGAAGCCATTCATCGCTTGAATTGCTGTCTGCGCGCTCGCTGGATTGTCGAACGACACGAAACCTGAAAATGAATCGATTGATCAATCTTTCCGATCGATGGAACGACGAAACTTTGTATCTCATTGATTTTTCATGTTTTTAGAAGATCAGGAATAAGTTCACCAGATCCTTTTGACGAGGTCTTTTGCGCAAAAAAGGAAAGCACGATCTCTTCAAACTCTTCCACATCGAGCTGACACATGTCAAAATATCGATTTAAAATCGTGCTAAAAAAAATATCTCCGTCGGTTAGCCTGAAGTTTTGAATTCAGATTAAGAAATTGGTTATGATATCCCTGGACTTATGATGAAAACGGGAAGTTGAATATCGACACTTGAGGGCATCGGATTATCGCAAAAAGGGTACTCATTGGCTAACCAGTGATTTAGATTAGCTGATTCGCCGCGAGGAATAAAAAGTTTTCTGCGAAGGGGCCTCGGTACTATCAAAGTTTTATCGAGAATAAGAGAAAGGGAGAGGGAAAGAGAGAAGGTGCACGATAACGAAGCTCTTAACAACAGAAGCGCCGCTGAAAGGTCATCAGGGCCCTCCCAGTTTAAGCCAATTTTGACCATTAGCCCCGATCCAATTTTAGTTTTGCCATCATGGCGGCCTACTGCCTGACCAATCGCGGCTCTTCATCGCTCGGCGACCACCGCTTTTACTCGGAGTTCGTAAATTACTTTTACTAGGTGACTGAAGAGGCTTTAACCCTTGTTCGATGAAAAAGAATCCCTCTTCTATCGTCTTCCTTCCCCCAAAAATTCTCTCAATTCTCTTCCATTGAATCTCAACGGAATAATATCGCCTGTCGCAAATTCATATCCAACAATTACAAATAAATCGCGTTACGCATATATACGCATATACTTGGGTCATAATTCTCAAAGCATTCGTTCCTCTCTTTTTTTTCTTTTTTCTCTTTCTGTTGCGTTACAGAAGTTTTTTTCTGGCAAGTTGATCACAGCATCGACGTCAAAGTACGAACCGCGAATGTGAACGATATATGTATGTACGTTCACTTTGGATGCCCCTTTTTTCATCAACGTCTCGATAATTACGCGAGGAACGGCATACAACGAAATCGAGAATATAACGACCGGTGTCCTTTGAACGATGAAATTCACTCGACTGTACACGTCGTGATAATCGGCAGCGATAGGCAGAAAAATATTAATCACGGTAGTTACGAACGAATAGACTAAGAGGAATATCAGCGAATACATCCGTCCAATTATCTGCACTCATATTTGAGCATTCATTCCGGGCACAATTAATCAAAGCTACCGCTACGTACGTTTTTCAGCCCTTTTGTTTCGATCCCTTTCTATTAACCAAAAGGACCACCTAGTTTCATTCGAGTCACAGTCGGACGCGTGTTCATATTTAATGAAGAGCTTGCGTTTCACGGAGTTGTAAAACGTAAAATAATAATAATAACCATAATAATAATGGATCGAGGGTTTTCATAAACAAAAAATATATACATAAAACTACGATATATAAAAGATATATTACGAATATAACATGTAATTTAAATAGCACTCGACACGACACGAGATAAAAATTGGATTTAAAAAAGAAATCGTTTCCCATCAACGGGAGAGCCCGATAAAAAGTGCACATTATCGATTTTAATCGCTATCAACTCGCAAACAGTATCTTATCGTTAGCTATACTTGACTTTGATGCTTCGTCCAAGTAGTTAGCATCGAAATTGGCGAGACCTGTGTTCACCTATCCGTGTCTCCTACCTTTGGAAGATTTCAGCATCGATCCGTGTAGCTGTTTAATGGTTTTTCGGGTTTCTTTTTTCTCTCTCTCTCTCTCTTCCGGGCCACTCTTCACGCGTTTCGTGGAAATGACACACTTACCGAAGCATTTACTCTGGTTGGTGGCCCGATCGATGAAAACCTTGGAGGATATGACGTTGCCAAAGGGGATGAACATCTGCATGAGCTCACCGTCTCCAAACTCCTGAGGCAGGTGGTAGATGAACAGGTTGCAGCCTTCGGGTCCTGAGATAGAGCATCCTACCATATAAATCAGAGCACATCTAAACATCTAAACTTGAAGTATAATACTCAAGTTAAAATGTTAGTTCTTGATGAGTTTCGTTCTTCGCAATATAATGATTTCGACCCGGCGGGAGAGCCACCTCGCGCCAGCGAGTATGCACACATTGCTCTCTTCTCGTTCTTCCCGATTCTCGTCTGGATGCGTTTTTGATGAATGAAGATGAAAACCGTTTCGTGACCGTTTCTCAATGACAATCTGATTTCTCTCTCGTCGCACGGAAATGTGAGGGATGAGATTTGCTGGTGATGATGGTGAACTTGTTTTTTTTTTCTTTCTTTTCTTTTCAGTGAGTCGTGTGACGGGATATTTTCGTAAAGAGATGTTGAAAACTAAAGGACACGTCTAGGTTGAATGAAATACTACGTGTGAAAGGAGATGAGCAAAGGGGGAGAGGAGGAGGAATGAAAGACAGGAAATTGCGATGAACCGAAATATGAAAAGAGGAGGGGAAGATTAGACTGGGGGGGGGGGGGTGAAAGAAATGGATCGAATGAGAGGATAGAGATGCATGATTGCCGACGAAGAGAGTAATGATTAGAATGTCACGACGATGTTTGTTACGATAATGAGCTTCTCCGCGATTCAAGTAACGTTGAGTATTTATACTTTCAAATATACAAACATACAACACTGGGATTCACAACACAATGACGAGCGAGGTGAAGGGCATTTTTAAATGAATGCAAATGGGATATAAGGAGTATAGTGATAGTGATGATACTGATTACGATGGTGCGACACTTTACATGAGACTGCCAAACATGTTAATCCGTCATCTCATTATTACATAGCTTGACATTTGTAAACGTACAAAAAAAAAAAAAAAAAAATGAATGACAGAATGCGTGAAAACTCGCTAAATAACGTTTCGTCGTTTGTCTCTCTCCGCAAAAAAAGAAGCCAGCAACGGAAGATGAAAGGAACTATGATTTTCATAGATCTCTTCTGTAATAATTTCTGATAATTTCTGATTTATAAATTTTCATTGACTTTTTACTTCGCTTTACGTTTCGGCTAATTTCTTATCCACGCCTCCTTAGGCGATTTGTTCTTTCATCTGTAACCGAATTTCCTCGAAGACACTTTCGCCAATTAACGATGATGGATTATCACGTACGTATTCGTTAAAGTTTCGAAACGATACGCAAGTTCCTTCTCAATTTAAGCACAGAGCTTTCGCCGGACAACGAAAAATTCTTTATGTCAGCCGCAAGAGATATAAAGACACCGACGATTAATACGTCCGTGGGAGGAAAGTCCAACGGAAGAAGCAAAGTAAGGGGTCAGAATAACGAGAGTCCAAATACGGATTTAGCTAATTTCACTGAACTTTATAACTCCCCGACGTCAATTAGCGGCGATTATGACCGTGGAAACTTCTGCTCTCTTGGCCTGCGCTTCTCTCGGCTAACGGACGCATTTAAGTAATGAGATGGCTGCCACTCAACTTTTAGGATGCTACTCATCGCGACTCGTTCGTTCATCGCCGAGATTCGCCCCTTCTGTCACTTCTACGCCTTTGCGAGCGAACGTTACCGTGTCGAATTACCACAAGTGAGCGTAATTGTCCGTTTCCAGTTCCGTGGACATTTAACGGGTCTCGTTCATTTCACGGCCCTTGGTTAATCATAACTACTTCCGTCTACTTTTAAAATCGATCAACCGACGACTGGCTTTTGACGCAATTAGAAAAGTATTCGAGTATGCAATGGCGCGTGAAACGTCTTCAAAGCGTCGGATGAGACAGAAAATATCAGATTATCGGAGGAAACGAACCGATGAAGATGCATAATGGGATCATTGCGTTATTATGATGACGATGGTTAATTGGTTTTAATGACGAATGAATAGATATATCGAGCGAGAGATTGAAATTTACGGAATCACTTAACGTTATCGTGTTGGCGATATTTATGAAAATTTAGATAACAAACAATGTGTTATGAAGGAAGAATATTTTACGAAATTTTAGTGCATCTCGTTTCGAATATTTATATTCAAATGAAATTTAGATAAGCTCCCGGGGCTTCACCGTGCCATAATTACAGTACGAAGAAGTATAATTACCGAACGAATGAAACACAAAAATGTATACAAGTAGACACGATATTTGATATTTGCAAGTAGACACGAAGTTACAAGTTTTGAAAATATTTTTCCAGAAACGAGAAATTTATTTATCACAATATACGTGCTTCGAAATATCGCTACTCGTTGTGGGAAATTTAAGAAAAACTCTGTGCTTACAACGTTTGTGGTTTACACAGAGAAGGACAAATGTTCTGTCTTTTTCGCGAGAGCCGACTTCGTCTCGGTAATAACTCGATCGTAGTTGTCACGTGAAACCCAAATTAGAGCCGGTGTCGACGGGTTTCCGGTTCCGACGAAGAGGAGAATGGAGGAGAAATTGCGGTGGACGCCGGAATCACGAAGAACGAGCCATAAATTTGGCCAACGTCGTCGTGCCATGCGATCGTTGATCCTGAAATTGGTTTTCGACTCTCTAATTGGCCCACGCGCGGGACGTGCACGCGAATTTAATGAAAGCAACACCTCCCCAAAACCCGAGGGCGAGAGGCAGTGTCTACCAGCAGACGAGTATGCATTGAACCTAATCTTCCACCGTTTGAAGATTCTTTTATTTAAACGAATTTCGAACGACGTTCTCTTGCACACTTCATTTTTTTTTTTTTTTTTATCCGAGTGATTCGAGCTTTCGAACGTATGCAGAGTTGTTATTGATAATTTTATACTGCGAATTAACTGCGATTATTCCTCTGGTATGTACACGCGTAAATAAACGTTTGATGCAAAGAGCATCGTGTATGTACGTACACATATACGTTTCTCGTATAAATATTTAGGATGTTTCGAACGATTGTTCGAACAGGGTTGAATTGAATTGAAAGTGAAGGAGATCTCGTAACTCAAAACTAAAAATTCGATATTTATCACAGAGAACAGATACACAAACGTTGATATTAGCTACGTAACGATACGACTATCGATAAACATCGGTAATAAGTGCACGTTTTATATACAGTTAACACGATGTACGATTGATCGTCGTGAGAAAGCGACGATCAATGTTGGTCGACAGCGCAACACCGAGCACAGCTAAGAATAGTGACATTGAGTACAACGAAAACACACCGATGTATACCTATCTATATAAAGAATAAATGTAGAGTTTCCATGAGAAACGCCCATAATGTCGTGGTACAACGATTGTTGAACAAAAGAGAGAGACACGAACACCGAGAACACTTTGTGAGACGTATAATACATAAAGAACAGTTTAAAAAAGCAAAAATGATGAACGAAGCGACACTAAATATAAAATTGATAACGATGTCATGCAATGATGACAAGAGTAAACGATATCGTTCTTCCGATGTCGCTGTCGCATCTTCCTCCATTAGGCTACGTTGTTGTTCTTTTCTAATTTCAATATCCACTACACACCACGTGTTTGAGAAGTAAATAAATCGGGACCAGATTCGAAACGATCGTACACGATTAAAATTAAATTCGATACGTGATTATTGACCTCGCTGAGACACATTCGCTGTATATACCTTTGCACTTGAACCTCGCTTTTTATCCCGTGTCCAAAATAAATATATTTATTATCGTCGCGTTACATTAATATTATTCACATTACGTAAACAAGTTTGCTTTCTCCTTTTCTTCCTTTTTTATTTCAGCAACTGTAATTTCCACGAGTAAATTATACTGCAACCGTTTTTTTTTTTTTTTCAATTAACAAGAAGAATTCTTTATTTTCGTAACAGCGAATGTGTAAGACAATTAAAAAAAAAAAAAAAAGAAAAACGTATCTCGCGAAAGCATATGCGAAAATATACCAACGAGATGGTGTGTGCGTTCGGGAAAGCAGGCGAAAAGCGACGCTGGAAGAGTGCAGAAAATAGGGATATCGAGGAGACCTGAACGAAGCGTGGGAGGGGCAACGCTGTCGCGGTAAACTTCCCATTATCCTACGATGTAACAACGGATCGCCGGCAGGCGTAACGGCAAAGTAATTAAAACTTTCGTTTTATTTGCATTATCTCATTGTTAGGCGTCGTATATTCTAATAATGGCGAGTTGTTAATTGCAATTAGGCGCTGGCTCGGCTCCGTCTACCCTCTATCTTTTCTGCCGCTTATCCGCCATCTTTAATCCCCACTGGCCTTCTTTCTCTCTCTCTCTCTCTCTCTCTCTCTCTCTCTCTCATTCTCTTACTCTCATAGATAATGTTGACGAACGATTTGCCCTTTCACCTGCGTTTCTTGCAACGACATTCGACGCGTATGCGATTAATCCTGCGCATTTAATTCGATGCGAATTGACTTAATTAATACGCCATTTTTTGGGCCATTCTTGCTGTCGAGAAAATGAAACGTGTGTTCCGTCAGACGAAAAGACGCGAAATGGTGAAACGTTCATTCTTTCGTGTTATCTCAGTCAGTAATTAACGGGCGAAACACGATGCGAGCGAGGAGACCTATCTTGTGCAGCTTTTGCAGCGAGGAAACCCAGCGCTATTCTCGCGGCATTGGCTTGGGCCAAAATAGTATAACGTTTCCGTGGAAGTTCGTCAACAGTCGTAAGTCATCGTTCATCTTTATCGTTACATTTCGGCTAGAAAGGAGACGGTAAAATTAATTTTTACCGAGCGTATTAACCGAAGGAAACGTAGCTCCGTTATTGACTTGTTCCGATGCTCGTTCATTACCTTCGTCGTTATCGGAAAATCCTGTTCTTCTGCGATTGAAAAAAAAAAAAAAAAAACAATATATGGAGAAAGACGATAATTTCTCATGTAGCGAGTGTTTCACGCACTTCGACACGCGTAGGAAGAAACCACCCTTGCGATCGATTATTGCGTATCTTGCATGATATAATGACTGAGGGATAAACTCGTGTCTGGACGTTTGGGAGTTGGATCTACAACCTCAGGGCTACAATCATTCGTGTTTACAGTCAACAGTTACACGTTGATGAGTGTTTTGTACTTACCTTCCCTCTGCGTGGGTGCCACGGCGGTCATCGGCTGAGGAATAGCTTGAGGAAACTGGCCGTAGACGGCGGGATAAGCTGCGACAGTAACAAATAACAAATACATCATGATGTGTCCACATCAATCCACGGTGTGCATGCCGTTCTTATCGTTCCTATTTCGCTTCCATAAAACACAGCCTGTCGTGAGCGTCAGTGTTCCTCGTGTAAAATGCGAGTAACATCGTATGCATAATCGCGTCAACGGGTTACAATTCCAGGAAATGCAACAGCGTAAATGTAACGAACAGCGACATTAATAAAAGGTAAACTGCATGGTCAACGTCAATCGAGTTAATGCGAAATTGCATTGTCGTCAGCGGCAGGTCGAGAAATAATTATGGCAGGACGGTTTATAACTCGTTCATAACAAAACGCGGATGAACAACGAAAACACGGCGTTTAATTCGATGAAAACTTGGAAAACAAAGAGGGACGGGGGGGGGGAGAGAGAAAAGCAAAAAAAGGAAACCGGTGGCGATACTTTGCGAAATTCTGGTCACGGTTGGTCGAGTTAACGAGAAGAGTCTCTGGACCTTCAGGTAAGGTTCCAGAGTAAACGAAAGAAAAAAAGTCAATAGACGAGCAAGCCTCTTTTCCATTAACGTGTCTAGCCCGCCAGTTCGTCGCAGCGTTTTCTACTGTAAGGATATTCGACCCTCAACGTTCTCACCGTTCCACGACTTTTAACACGATACTTTTGTATTTTACAGCAATCCTATCCGATATTACCGACATTAACTGTCACGCGATATCGCTTCAAAGTCGCGTTCTATCCGTTCTGTCTCGTCTCATTATGCGCCGAACACAGACACCCGCGATTATTAAAATCGCGCGTGTGCACGAGGCAAGGCAAATTTGAATCGATATTTAGAACGCGACGAGACGGTGAAAAAGTCATTGGTTAGTTGTACGACAATTGACAAACAAATGTTTGTACATTAATTGTACAATCAATTAGTAAAACGCACTCGTAAAACTTTACTTACTTTAATGGCGAGTTTGTTCCGCCGGTAAAAATGAAAAGAAAATTCGTACGATTTTCGAAATATCGTGAAACTTTGCGAGATACTTTACGGTCGGTTACACATGGGATACGCGCGGAGGCTGTAGACTGCTGCAACGGATAAACTGCACGATATTAGAGAAAAGCAATTATAACGGCATTAATTATACACCTTGGCAAATATTTAAAACGCGCGCGATTGATATTTGTTTGTGACGGATAAACGTAGAGAGAGGGGCGGTCAGCGGTAGCGGAATGAAGGGGTTTGGCCGTTCGCTCTCAGATTAGAAGAGGTAAATTTTCGCTTGGAAATTAATTATTTCCGTGCAAACATTGCTTTAATATATTCCGATTGACGTTACTGGAGTTTTCGGTTCAACGATGGCCCAACGTTTGGCATATGAAATAAATACGCCATCATACGTCGGTTACCATTCGCCCGGATATAGAGGGACACGCGATATTTCGGATTGCTTTTTTTTTTCCCCATTCGCTGATCTCCACGGTCTGTGTACACTGGACGAAAATACACAGAAAAAGAATATCCTATTTTTGAGTCTTTGGCAAACACGGGAAAACCAGCGCGGGCTCCGCGCGCGGACGTTATGGCTCAAATTTGATGAATTTTTACCAATTCCGCGTGCACGCACAGAGACAGGAAAGATAGATGGATAGAAAAACGGGATCTCCCCGATGCTAATAGACGACCAACAGAAAAAGAATACGGGATGACGAACCGAACATTGTAGGGGAAACTTGTACAAAACCGTACTTCACACGTGTCTGTGTCCAGTAACCAACATCAAAGCGAGCAATTCGCGTAAATTTTATTACATACGCACGTAGCGCGTCAATCAGATGTCATCACGAGGTAAAATTGAAAGAGAAAGAACGCTCGAAAGACATTTAACGAGTGCAATTTTAATTACGCAATTTGTTTTACGAATTGAAAAGAATTAAAAAAAAAGAAAAAAAAAAAGATCTCCCGCCACGCAATCTCGTACAGGTTTTCGACGCGCGTGTTTTCTGCGCGAAAATAATTATTACCACGATCCGAGTTTCCTCGGGCTTTTCGAATGTTTTCCCAATCGATAATGACGCGCGGTTATGAGACTTGGCGCCGCCGAAACGGCAATTCGGACGCTCTGTTATTAATTTAACCATTGGAACAGAGAATTCATCAAACCCCGTGCGTTAATTGCTAACGGTGAGTGGAACGAATCGAAGTATAGTTACGTTGGCACGTTGATTATCTTTGAAACAGAATCGTCCATTTTGATGCTGGTTATTGGATTATAATTTCTGCCGGTGTATCGCACTTTGATGTAACATCGTTCGGTTCTTCGACAGCCTAGCCGATTACGTGTTGTCTGCGTATTAATGAACATGCACGGTACATGATGCGCTTAAGAGTTAACAATATATAATGTACACGACGCATATATTTAAAAGAACATCGAAGCTACACTGTAGCAGCACATCAGAAGCATTATACAATATAATGACGCGACACGTCTATATAATATACTTATATATACGAATATAATAATAATAATAATAATAATAATAATATAAATATATATAATACTTATGATTATAACGATACGAACGAAACATTTGTATTCTTGTATATGTGTATAAATATGTGCATGTATATATATTTATGTACATTTATGTATTATATACGTAGGTAGTAAGTCCGGGTTAGATCGACCATTTTTCTTTTTTTTTCTTTGAAAAGAAACATTGTAAAATTGTTGTTTTCAATATTTCAATATTATTTAGAATATAAGCAAATTCTATTTCGTAAAAAATGAAAATTATTCATTTTCATTTCCAATAAAAAATTAGTCGGCTGGTGAGACCAACGTTGAAAGATAACAAGGCACGAAGAAATTGTTACTACGTCTTTCTTCTTCAATTTTTCACACAAATCGTTAATGTTTTCGTATTTAAAGCATCTATCATGAAACTAGCCGCAGTTTACATAGATATTTAATCCAGTTGTTGCTTCTCGGAGCTGTGAAATAGTTTTCTTCTTCACTTCGTATCACTTTTCCTTTTATAAATTGTAGATAGTTTTTGTTAATTCGTAATAATATTATATAATCATGATGTATACACAATACGGTATATTATCACATACATATATTTATCAAATATGGTCGAACTGTACCAAAATAACGAATGTTATTGATCATCTTATTAACGTAAAGTGAAAGTGAATACAAGGGTATTATTATTGAGATTATAACCGCAGTTTTATGTTGTAACCACCAATGTTGAAACAGTATAGATAAACTTACTTGTTTTTTTCAAAATACCACTAACATGGCAACGCTAACAACAAACTTTCAGATCTGTTAAAAGTTCGAAATGTAGTTTGTAACTTAAATACGCTTTCGTGGCAGTTGTCGACAGCAACGGAATTATTCATTTGTTTTATTTCAACGAGATACAAAGCCCTCTGTTGCTTCAACTTTGAAATATTAACATTGGCCGATCTCTGTCATTGGTGATCGAACTATCCCGGACTTACCCTGAAAATGTACACATGCGATCATATTTACATGCAACAGCCAGAAACGCGATCAGCGGAATCGAATTTTTTTCAGAGTTAAGTGCTCGAATGCTCGGATAAAAGCATATTAAAATCGAATCGTTTCGGATTCATTTGTCCTCGCGTCTTTAGAATCTCTGTGTTCCTCGATAAGACATCCCCCTCGAAAACATGGAAATCGTTTACCGAACAACGAGTTCGACATAGAGATATCGTCGTCGTTCATCTAACGTACGCTCTCGTTGGAAAAGCTCAAGATACATCTAACAACGAACAGAATTACCATTTTGCGAGACTTCCACGGTAGGATCGCGTTTTCCCGATTGCATCGCTGAAACGTATCGTATTCATGGGGAATCGAAAGCTTGGACAATCGGAAAGTATAAGAAAATTCAATATACACAGGCATGTAATAACAATCTCGGAGTCATGTCTCGCGTTGAATAACCAACGCGATGATTTTCATTCGATCGTTTCCTCTTTTTTTTTTCTCTCTCTCATTTTTTCGTCTCCTATTTCTTTTTTTCCCCCTTCTCTTTCGGCCAAAACTCGTTATAGAATCCGATTTGGATCGCACTTTGGAGGCTAGCTTTGAGCTTCGTGCTGTTATCGAGAAAGCACACTATGAAATGCGTTCGCTAAAGTTCCGTGAAAACTCTCTTTGCAGATCGAAGGCTTGACGGAATTCTCGATAAGACGAAGGGAAAAAGTAAGTGGGGAAGAAAAAACTTACCGACACCGGGGTAGGGTTGCATTCCAGGATACGCGGCGGCATGCTGGAGTGCCGCCTCCCCATTGGGCAGCCCTTGTGCTGGAATGGACAGATGGAGGGCATCTACACTTCAGTAAGCTCAGCTCTTATCGGGGACGGACCTACGTGTCTAGGGCCCCTGTCGCAATACGTACCGACCAATCGATATCGCGCGGTATCGCGCGTATTTCTCGATTCCTCGTTAGTTTAATCTGATTTTACTAGCGCCGCGCGCACGCCGAACCCGGGGAAAATTCCTGATATCGATTCCAAGATTTCGAAGTTGCATCAACTTTGGCTTTCCATCGCGAATATGAAAGTACAATATATATACTGCGCGTATTAAATTTACGCGAGGTGATCTTAACGCTTAGGTACACAGACACTTTGCTGGAGTATCGTTGCAAGATTTACCATTCAATTAAAATTTTCGTATGTTTTCGCCGCTATGGAAGCGAGTAATCGCAGGAAGAACGTATTAATCACTGCGTAAAGTTTCTACGCGATTCGTTCGAGAAATCCTCGTATCGTAAATGCCGGTAATTTTAGTCGCGTTCGCGCGTACAACCCCTCGCGGTTGTCGAGCGTGGACGAACGAACAGAAGAGCGAGAAGAAAAGAGACGGCGGGGAAGATCTTTGCAAGTTAGAGAGAAAGAATCGAGGTAACGTGGTACGTGTCTAGGGCGAGGTTACCCCGTTCTCATAGCAAAGGCAAAATAATAAAGTCCAGCGTCGATTGGCCGAGCATTGCGCAGGGGCGGCACACTGCGCCTGAGTTGATACTCACGTCCCGGGTAGGTCTGCGGTATCCCGTTGGTATAGACACCAGGATCCGAACCTGCTGGTTGACCATTCGGTGTTTGTGCAGCCATGTTGAAATTGGGCATCGTTGGCGATGGTAACGACGGTATCGCCCCGTTAACCGGTTGCCCTGTACCGGTACCTACGAGCAAACCTGATCAGTACACACCGGTTACCCTCTTGCTCTTACAACACCGACCTCAGTCACCCTCCCGACGCGCGGCATCGGATCGGGAACGTTCACGGTTAGCTAGCTGCCCTCTGTACATCCTGTCAACCGATTTACGGTATATATTTACGGTATATACTGTATAATTGGAAGGACGTCAGACGGTTTGCCGATGATCCCGATGCCTCGCGTCGCGTTCGAGGGGTCCGCGTGATCTGCAGATTGCCGGAACATCGATCCGATTTTAGAGCCGATAACAGTAGAACGCGCGCTGTAGAACGCGCCACGGCGCTGGTTAACGAACAGAATCTTTAGACGGATCGATCGGCTCGTTTTCCTCGGTAATACAGACCGAAGATCGCCATCTGTCACGGTATTTGATCAATGTCTATATCTTCGATATGGCGAAGTGTTTCGACAAGTACGAAAAAGTAAACGAACCTTTGGGTGTACGTGTCGGTGTGTTATTTTTTAAAGGCGGGGAGAGGGTCAGGAATTCAATGTTTCATGCATATTTTAAGCTTCTGGAAAGCGACTGGTTGTTGACCTAGAAATGAATTTACAAAGAATTTATTTTTGAATCAGGAAGGATTCTACGTTGCAATTTATTGCAATTCTACGGAGAATCGTTTCACAATTTCGTCATTTATAAGTCAACGACTAGGTTTTCTCTTACGGTTTCGTTATTGGCGCTTAATATATTCCGGAGGGATTACCATAGAAATTCTGAAAGAATATTTTATGTACAGATATGTTACGGCCATGCATTGAGTATCTCATGCATATTATTCTACAGAGTCTATATCGTATCGCGAAGTAGAAATTAGATGTGTTTTCCAAGAAGATTGTTTGGGACACGCGAAGATAGATTCGCGACAATCGTCAGGGCCGTGCCGCATATTTTCCGGTTAAAAGACAATGAGTGCTTGAGATTATTAATGGTAAAAGTCGACACCGTGCGATCCATCGTATCGCCGTAAATTCGCGGGAATCTATCGCGAGAATCCTTTCAAGTACATCTATCATCTTGCACAAGGCACTCCCTGCGGACGAAGAATCCGTAATGACAGGCACGGTGACGTCGTTCCAATAGAAATAAAAGTGCAGAAGCTTGGCAGTCTGCGGGGCTGGTAAGCGAAGGAAAGATCAGAAGTAGATGGAGGAGAAATAAAATATTATTTCCCTATCAAACGGTATTACGTTCCGCTTGACGAGACTCGACGTATACCAGAGCGCTTGTCGAGAGCCGATTTCCCTGCTTAGTTTACCTGCTCTGCTACTTCGTGCCCTCCTCTTGTGTACGCGTTGAACGAATGAGAGAAACCGGGAAAGAGAAGACAGCGAAAAAGGCAGGCGGCGCGGGGAGGAAAGGGGGAGGAACGAGGCTACTTTGGCTTTTCCTCCTTCCCGTTCGCGGCGAGCTTTCGATAAAGTTTCGCGGCACTGGCAATATCTTTCGCCCGAGTCACGCTCGGTGAAAATGTTGTATTGATTTATGAGTCGGTTATAAGGCAACGGACTGTACGCTGCTGCTGCTGCTGCTGCTGCTGCTGCTGCCGCCGCGAGATCCATGAAGGAATAAACGAGGGGAAAGTGGGATAAAAGAGGGGAGATAAAGAAAGAGTTTCGCGTCAGTGAAATTGCGAAATTTCGCAGCAAAGTGTACATACGTGCCCGTGTACGTACGCACCATGGAACCTGTTAAAGTCCCTTTCCTCGCGTGTCCCATTTCTTCTTTCAAATAATTTTTCGGAAATCGGGAAACGACTTCCTTCTCTTCTTCTAACTTGGAAAGATTGATGTTGATTTATTATTCGAAGTTTCGCAAATGACGCAACAGTCGAGAAATTGTTTAACGCTACATTGACACTGACGACGTTTGATGCGCGAGGGGAGGAAAAAAAAGAGAAAAGAAGATATACCGGAAGTTGGCGGAACGACGGGGTTTGGCATGCCGTTTAACGCGTGCGGCAGTTGCCCAGCACTAACGTGTGCCAGTGCCGCCATTGGATTGATGTACGTCCCTTGTGCGGTCGCGGCGGCCATGAGAGCTGCTTGCTGCTGTAAGTAGAACGTTTATGTCGAAAATATATTCAGAAGTATATGCGTTCTCTCTAGATTACCATAGTTTAGGCCAATAAATAAAACTTTGACATCGAGGATGTATTATTTAAATAGAAACGGTTGCGGTTCTTGGAAAAATTTCTTTTTTTTTAAATTTAAGCGAACGAATGCGAAATATACGTAAACTTTAATATTGATTAAACGACGCTGCGCAATAAAGTCCAAATTTCCCGAACATTTGGAAATGTCATTGAGAAATGTTATCGGGAAAAACTCAATTAACAGAACGGTGTCGAGTATCGGCCGATCCTCTCTAACAAGGCAGGAAACAATTACAGGTTGTGATTCGCGATAACGAGAACAACGAGGCGAGATAATATGGTAACGCGAGAACCATTATGTGACCCACCTGAGCATAAGCGCCGTAAGCACCGAACTGATTGAAGACGAAAGGGTTAAGGAGGCTCATATTCCCGGCCATTTGCTGCATGCGTCTTAGTTGTCTCTCTTTCTCAGTATCTGCGAACTTCACCACTAAGCTGGATGACGCACCCTGAAATGAATCATTCCAATATCCGTTATTTGTTATACTTCTAACAAGTAAACTAATTATATTTCAAGCATCCCGGATCATCCGTACGATACTCCAGTACGGAGATTTATTCGTATATAGATATACCTCGAAAGATTTATTCGTATATATATATATATATATATATATATATATATATATAAAAAGAAAAAGAATTATTTGTCCATCGGCAGCAGAAAACTACAAAGAGGTTGTTACGCGTGTTGAAATTAAGTTGCTCACAATGTAAATTGCTCTGCTACGACAAGCAAGTCGCAGTCTGAAATGCAAGGATCAGATACTCCCGTCAGACCTGTCGGTTCGTAATTTCCATGAGACGAAGCAGCGCTGTAGCAAGGAGATTACCGTCGCCGACGCAAAGCCGCATAATTTTCTAGAACCTCGCATATTCTTCGTGACCGCGTGCACGTTTCTCATCCTCTATGAATTTATAATACGTAGAAAATTTGATAATAACGCCGCTTCGACAACGAACGTGATTATCAAAGAAGACCACGACCTCCTTTCCTTCATTAGTTATTGGAAATTAACTGTCGTTCTATCCAGCCAGTTCCGTTTCCGTTAAACGCGTGTGCAAATTCCCTTTATTTAATATATCTACCATTTATTTTGAAAACCGTGAGAACGCTTCACTTAGCCAAAGTGATATTAAATACCACCGAGTGGTATTTGTCGAATCAAAGTAGTATTCATCATCGTTTCACTGTACCACGGTATAAATTATTTTGTACAATTTATTGGTTTACAAGATGGTACTGATAGAAGCTAGAAAAAATTTTTTTTTCAAAAGAGATACAGTAAAGTAACACGTATAATTTATGAGAGGAGGAGAAGTAAATTTTCGTACGTTTTCAACGTTTGAAGGTTATACATTTAATTTAAACTTGGCATCTATTGTATTTTGATCAAAGCAACAGTGAAGAACCACAAGTGGTTACCAAAGCAGGAAATTATTGCAGGGTATATTTCAATGTAAGAAGACGTCTTCCTGCAAGATGTTTACGAGGATACGTAAGAAGATGACGTTCTCACTGCGTCTAAAATATAAATGGAAAGGCAACAGGTGGTCAGTGGCCATTGTGGCTGCAGAGAAAAGCTCAACTTTCAAGCTTCTGGTGATATATTATATTCACGTCATCAATGCAAATGCTGGGCGTGTCTGAGTTTATATAACGACGGTAATATTGTAACCCGTTGACACGCTTGCTGAAATTCCCCCTTCTCATCACGCGACTTTTCATCATTTATCCATCGTTTTCTTTCCTTCGCCTTGCTAATCTTTGTACTGGTTTCATTCCACCTTCCTCGATGTTTCTTTTCAGACTTATAAAAAGAAATCATTATTCGGCGACAGAACAAAGAGTTTTGTTTCTCAAATTTTAACAATTGTCAGTTGAGTATGCACGTCACAGAAAATATTGCTCGCACGATTATCTTTAATCGTTGTTCAGAATTTTTGTTACATTTTGTTGGAATATGATAGAAAAAGTACAACCTAGTCGAGAGCAAAAAAAAAAAAAAAAATATAAGAAGGTGATATTACATTTCATGTGAATAGTTGTATCGAACCTGAAAATGGTAGGTTTGAACCTCGAGGGTTGAACATTTTTGTTCTCTTTACTTGCAAAATGAGGATTCGTCGTCTAAAACGCTCGATACAAATTAAAACGAACGAAAAATTCTAAAATTTATTATGTAACAGTTAAAATTTAAATAATTGTATTCTTTTAACAATAAGTCGTATGAGAATATATTACACGTAATCGTAAAGAATTTTGATTGGGAGCTCTCAAGAATATTCTTAAAATTGTCGCGAACGTTTTTAAAATTATCGAAAACTGTAAATACTGTAAATGACTCGCATTAGAGTACGAGTTTTGTAATTTGGAAATTACGACGGTGTCTATGCGTATTAAAAATTCCGAAACGAAATGTGTAACGCGTCCGTACGCTAAATATCGAGTGGAAAAGCTTCATTCAAGAATTGGTCGCATCGATCGTCCGTGCATTACATATATCCAGAGACGATTTTCCAGGAAGTATCATCGATACTGTCGAATTGCATGTTGGGCACGTATAGAGAGGATATTGTGCTCGCTATAAAAAGCGTTTTTGCTTTTATTATTTTTGGTGCCGGATATTTCGGTGCCGTTGTCAAAGGTACAGACACGATATACGCAGATTCGAAATTTGTAAAACTTTTTACCATCGTGTTCTTCTTTTTTTTTTTTGCTCCTCCCCCCTCCCCTCCAAGTCTCTTATACAGAACCGCCAGGCACCGCTGACAAAACGAACTCGTATAAAAATTTATAGATTTGATGAAATGTAGGCGTGGCCGGACCAAAGTCAATTTGGTTAGAAAATTAAAATCTGTTATTTGTACGAGATGTACGGTTAACTTCTTACCTGAATCACTACATTTTCTTTGTATTGTGTTCATAGGATATATTGAACGCTTTCAAATAAGAATGTTATTATCAATCGGTGCGGAATTTCATTAGCATTTTACGCAAAACACCACTTAATTCTTGGTCACGCGCCACCATGCACTTGCTTATGACCGTCGAATACAATTGGCGTTCCGCGAGTTGCGTCGAGGGAAAGGTTACCGAGGAGAATGAAGCGGAAAGGGAACGACTGGTTCGCAATTATTAAAAGTTTCGTTTACAGCCGAGTCGAACGGGGCCAAACGCGCGTATAACCGCGGCGTTCCAAGGAAACCGGGATCCGGCCGCAGTTTACAAGGCATAAAAGTTATGCGGGTTTCATGGTTGGATACAACTTTCCACATTACTGTAACTAATATCAAGAGTATCCGGCGAAACTCATATGTGTTGTTTCTCTTCCCTTATTCGAGAAATCCTGAAACTCAAGCTAGAATTTTGGCCTCGTTTGAGTGAGAAAACTCAAATATCGCGGAACCTATTGTCTCCGACGTGTGACCCGTTAACGTTCTCGAAAACGTTTTATAAATATATTGTGAACCGTTGGCAATTGCGATCCATCGACATATTTTAACAGAGAAAGAGAAAGAAGAAAAAAATAATCGGACAAGGCAATTTTGAAATAACTTGTTTCGTCGAATTACGTCACGGCAACGTAGTTTTTTCCTCCCCAGGCAACGACGCGACGGAAAGATGCACCTCGGCAACCTCGACGTCGTCGTCGAGGTCACTGGCGATGGGAAAATTCGCAGGGCAAAAATATTCAGGGGCGTTCCTTCATAAAGCTGGGAAAAATATCGACAGGCAAGAGAACGACCGTAAAGAGGAGAGTAGGAAGCGGGAAGGGGTGGTGGGTGAGGGGGAGGGGAGGGCGGAGGGACATTTTGTATTCTCTGTACGAGCGAAGCCGCTCGAACAACTCGTTATGCGCCGTGAAAAGCATCGACGCGTGTTGTTGAGGAAAATAATTTGTCTCGCGTCGACAGTCTCGAAACGTGGAAGGCCTTTTCTCTCTCTCTCTTTCTCTCTCTCTCTCTCTCTCTCTCTCTCTCTCTCTCTCTCTCTCTCTCTCTCTCTCTCTCTCTCTCTGCGTAGCGACGGTTGGCTAAGTCGCGTGGCATATATGACATTTACACAGAGCGTACATGCACATCGATACAGTATAGAGGCCGACAGACGGGGTTGGGAGGGGATAAGAAGGGTGCCGAGGTCGTATCAGAGCCAGTGAAGCCGAAGCCTCATTATTGGGGGATTACGGTTCATTAATTCCGATCCAACGTTCTGAACCACACGCGAAAAGAAAAAGCCACCCCAAGCGATATCACGAGGAGAACGTTTGAAGCTTCCACTCCTCGGCTCGTTATGTTTGTACACTTTACCGTGTAGGCTGTATCTCTTTAAAATCCGCGACACAAAAGCACAGTCTCGTTATAGCGCCGGAGTACAAAGTCTTCGTTACACGGGGCTCAACGAGAGATGAACTTTGTACAGTTGGAACAGTTCCTGGCTTTTGTAACGTTAGATCGTCGGGAAACGAGTCGGACGCCGATGCTTCTGATTCTTTCAAATCTGCTTTCTCGCTTTGTGTTTGGCGGCGCTGCGAGCGTTATGAAATTGTCCCTTTATTAACGTCGCGTCGCATCGTGTTCGTTGAATTTCTTCGTAAGGAGTTGACAGTTTCTGATTTAATTAGCTGTTGAATAACAGTTAATTAAATTCTGTTGGCAATTACGTTTAGAATATCGTTGTTTTGCTTATCATTATGTTACGTAATCGTTGAACATTTCACCTTTGTACGCGGTTATAGGTATTTTAATAACAGATGGATCGTACACTTTCGTAGATCGTAGAAACGACGTATCGAATTGAAACTTTTATCAAAATTCGCACGTTCAACAAGTTTTGGTGTAAACCAAAAAAAATCTCTTAGAGATCCGCGATATTGCAGCAGATCTGGCAACGGAATGAGGCAATTACCTACTGATTGGAGGTTCTCCCGTTAGCTGCGCCATCACACTTGCCAATTCGCCAGCTGGTAATTTCAATAGATACAACTGGAACCGCAAGACTGGCCGGAACGCCGATTGCCTCTTGTCCACGTGATTCTCTGTCGGAATCCGAAACGGAGGGATGGATGTAAATTGTCCAATTCTCTGCTGCATTTCAAATTACAAGTTCCACACTTTGGCTTGCTCACAAGGCCAGAGGGAAATCTTCCCGCCTTCGAATTTCTTTCCAAATTTGTCGTTACGAGTTCAGATAGTAAGCAGTAGCAGATCCAGCTTTTGAAGCTAATGGTCGCTAGGACTCATTTCATTTAAGTAATGTAATAGAAAAATAAATAGTCGTTAATTGTAAAACTGTAAATAAGTATTTTATTGTTTCATCTAGTTGTATTTTCAGTTGACAGAATGGTTAAAAAGTTTGATCGTTTCTCGAGTATAGTTCCTCTGCATTTATCTTTCGTTATTGACACTTTGGAGAAAGTTTTCCTTGCTTTATTAAAAATATATGTCG